TAAATATGAAGGTCAATTAAATTATAAAACATGAGGTAAAGTGCTCTTTTTAATTTAATTGATGCTTTTTAAGTGTGTTTATTTATTGGTTCATTTATATATTTCTGATTTTATGTCATATTTGGCCCTCCGTAGAATTCTAGTCAGAACATCACAGTATATAAATAACTATAGTAAACACAGGATTCTTTGTCTTTTTTATGTTGCTGGTCACAACAGACAACACYAAAGCAAGCAGAGTAAAAAGATATTACATTGCTGGACTGATATCAAACCATGACATGAAAACCAAAACACACAGTGGTTTCTTCATATGGAAGCCATACTTGTAGTTGTATTACTTACAGGGCTACTTTAATGTAGATTTGAATCTTAAGAAAAAAACAAACTGTGTGAATAATTTAATACTCCCCTCTTTAAACTTGAATACATAATTTTCAGTGTATAAATGATGAAATCYATCATTACAGGTTTTTTTATATAGACCTACATAGACAAGCACAGAGAGATCCATCTGCTTTATTATCAAGAAGAAAAATGTAATCTGTCTCTCCTTTTGTGTGGCATCTATGTGCAAAAAAAAAAGATTTTTTTAGCAGTTGCCATATTTTTTTAAACAAATCAGAATAATACAAAAGTTAGTCACAAAAGCATTATTGCTGCATCATAGTGCCAGCTTTTGTACCTACCCAACAATGCTCTGCCTAAAACAGCATGCCACTAGACATACCGGTTTCTTGTTTCTCATTTTTGCATGTGAGCTCATCTCATCTGCAGTCTCCAAATGTCCGGTGGGGCCAGGGGCTCATGCTGAGATATGTGTGTCCCCTGTGGTCTGGGATTTCAAGAATCTACGTTCAWGCACAGAGAAATCACTCTGCAGCCACTGCACACAAGGCCAAAGAAACTAAACTCTAACAACACAAACCTTTCTGTGCGACCAGAGCTCTCGGTGCTGTTTTCAGTGCAACTAACCTTGGTCTGCTCAGGTTGAGACCGTGGTCCAGCTCAGTCTTACAAGAAAGCTTTCTGAGTATTTCTCACTGACGTGATCAATACAAGTGTACAAGACAAAGCTTTAGCTCAAATCCAAGCCATGCATCAAACCCCTTGGCCTTTTATCCTTCCTGTTTCCATCACACAACTCATCTTTCCTCATTACAAAAAATGGCCTRCATGAGTCAGGTCTTTTCGGTGACTGGCCAGAACATTGATCTCAATCATAACTGAACTTATTACAAACAACTTGTGTTGTTCAGGATACAGTATATTATCAGCAACACTGAGTTGTGCTTAGATACATTTCTTACAGCTGACATTGGTTTTAAATTGTTTAGTGTTGTCATGTCTGGAGGTACAGCATGTCCTAACACAGTTAACAGGTTAGGTGTTTAATATTTACAAAATCTGACGTGTTTCAAAAGAATGCTTTCAACTTTGAAAAAACAGTGATGCAATTTATTGTTTTAAATCATCATAAAGTCATCATCATCTTTGGCACATTGAATGCAAAAACAACAAAATGAGCTGTTGCTTAATTTGGACAATTACAAAACATCTATGTTTTTTTTTCAACAAAACAACAACTGATAGAATTGTGATCAAGTGAATGCCTCCCAAAAAAGAACACAATAGTTAATTGTGCCACACATCAATTGTCTCGTGCTCTGTTTAAAAAGCAAACAAGGGCTGCAGCTAAAATGTGAACGCTAGCAGCATGATTGACCTCGTTTTTTTAATATGTAAWCATGTACTTTTGCTCAAAAAAAGTTCTGAGCCTCATTTCACAAGTTTTAGGATTGAAATTATTAAATCTTAAAACCCCACTGAGCAAATTTGCACACACAGGGCTACAATTTTAATATTTTCATTAGCAAAATGATGGCAAACAAGTACCGTAAATGACCCTCCTTTCCACAGGATGACTCAACTTCCTGCAGTTTTAGTGAAATGTTTGTGACACACGTTCATCAAAATAACCCAGAAATAAATTGCAACCCCTCCCTTTTCAACTATGAGTCCTCAGCTCCCTTCTAGCAACCAGTTTTGGGCATAAAGTGAACCTGTTGACTCTGTGCCGTCTCTCTTTTTCTTAGTGCTTGTGGCATTCAAGATCGATTTATGTGCTTTTAGCTCCAATGCAGATGTGAATTAGGGAAAAAAATGTCTTCATTGTGCCTTTGCGTTTGCCTATAAGTGGTGCTCTGTAAGTACACGTGACATTGTCTTATTTCCATTTGAACTCAGACAGGACTGTGTGGACGAATCTAGTGAGTGGGCAACTCCTGCCCGTTAGGGCTGCTGCTATATAACGTCTCTGCTTTATGGAAGAAACACAAGCTCTATTGCCAAACATCAAAAGAAAGAAGGCATGGCAATAATGATGCTGCCTATTTCTATCTGTGTGTTTTTGTCTGTTGTGTTAGGAAAATATCACTTAAACACCTGGGCTGATTTTAATCAATGGATGTCCATCAGTAACTTCTGGAGTCGGTCCGATTCAAGACGGTTCCCACAGCTAATTGACCTCAGCAAATAATGCAACGCCATAACTCAGTCGGTTTTATGATTACCGAGCTAAAATATATTGTGATAGTAGCTGAGAGTCATCGCCCCTAAACATACTTTGGGCACGACACATTGGCGTCAGCTCTGATTATTTGTTAGTCAAATTTCTCAGGAACTAGTTTACCATGTTTAAGTAAACTAATTTTAAACAATCACTAACTAGTTAACTTTTGGCATAAATCCAGTTCACAATGCCCGACACAGCTAATTAATCTCAGCCAACATCAACATGGTGATAATGGAATTTTTTCCCTTTTTGGATGAATATTAATGAAAATTTCAGATAAGAACTAGAAGCACTCGGAGAGTGCAAACCTCCGCCAAGACCAATTTCCCCCATCCTGTAAGAGTTAATGTGCAAAAGCAGAGATAGAAACACATTTCCCAAATAAGTTCTGACGTAGTGAACATTTAAGCAGGCAGTATGCACGGGATTTCTTCCCAGTGGAGTCTAATGTGAAAGACTCGTTACCCGACGTTATTCGTCGTCAAACTGGTGTCGGATTAAGCTCCTAAGTTTTCATCAGTCACATTTCATTGTGTAAAATGTCTGTTTTATCCCCTTGTATGAGTTTGTAATGGTTTGACTCTATAAAGTGCTTCCTGGTACAGTCTGCTCATGAAGCGAGTGGGTTATTTTGTACGTATTTATTTATTGTATTTTTTGAAACAAGTGATTGGAGCAAAATACAGCGTGTGAGTGCTTTCAGCACTAACACTCCCAAGAAGTTCAGAGCAATCACACAAAAAAATTCTTATGTGGAGGGGTACCTGACAAGGTTGAACAGCTGTTCCGGACAGTGGAGTGCAGGTTTGGCTGGGCTGCAGCAGGACCCTCCTCCCGCTGTCGGTGTGTCCTGTTATTCCCGTAACGTGAAGAGAATCTCATTTCTTTGTCTACATCTCCAGACAACATGCAACATCGGCAGAAGTAGTTAATAACAGAATAATCACAACTTTCCTGATAGTAGACATACTGGGATGTGTCCGTCTTCGGTCCATCTCCAAAGCCTGTTCAGAAGCTTCTCTCCACTAGTGTACCGACAAACTATTTTGATTGGTTGTTTCGGAAATAYGGTGTGTTTGAGGAAATGGGGAAAATAGGTTTCATGGTGCAGTCACGCACTTCCTAGTCACAAAACGTTCTCTAAATGTGCACCAAATGTGTAAAAATGTGCACATTATGGCAAGAATTATTCATCATTAAATCTGGTTTTAACATTACTTTTATACATTTTGAAGTCCGTGCTGTCCAATCCAGCTCACTGTTTTTTACAGAAGGCCTGTGAAAGCATCACAGCTTTGCTGATCTGAGTGTTAAAAGAAAAAAAAATTCCTGTATCCGCAACGTGATCCGGAACATCACCAAAATTTAACGGTGTGTTACTTGGGCCAGTATCCACATG